TCTCTTTCATACCGTATATCTCTGTCTGCGTCTCGCTCGGCCGTGGCGGACGGACCTCTCCCTCACTCCGTCCGCCGTTTCGAGCCTGCGCAGTTGACCTATTCGCTCTGCGGGCCAGTGGGCCCCTTTGAAGCATCCAGCTTTTACATGCTTTTTCCTATACCTCGCAACTTTACGTTTCGGCCCTGCCTGTCCGTGCCGGCGGCGACGCCAAAACGGCGACGCCAGTGGGAAACGCGCTTAACGCGAAGATGGTTATCCGCCGATTCCGATACAAAGAACGTCATCCCGATCGAGTCGCGCCGTCGCGCCCTTCGCGCATCGTGTAGATCACGGGCTACGCGGTTAGTTCATTTTGTGAATAAAAAACAATCGGCTCCTTCCGGAAACGTTTAATGTTAGAGTGCAGGAATGACAGTTGAAAATTTTTAAGTGAATAATGACAGTGGAGTAATAAAGTTGAGTTCGTGTATAAAAATCAATCGGCTCCTTTGAAAGACGTATATTGATAGAACGTAGAAGCAACAATCTTAGTGTGTTAAAATTTTTAAGTTTTGAGCGATAGTGATCGTGTGGTGGATTGCGGTGTTCCTTCCCTGGAAAGAAGATCAGCTGTGACATACCTGCGAGCGGTAAAGATGCTGACCAATTGACTGCAGTCAATTCCTATCATCATCCATCAATTATCAACAATCTATCCCATCCATTCCACGTGAATAACGATTAAGTGTATTAATTGTTATTCATAATAACGAACGAACAACAATTTCCTTGCATTGTTATTCATGTAATTTGTTAAACGCTTCGTACTGCTCGGAGCGCTTGTTCAAACGCGTGAAAGACCGGGCGGCCGGTTCCCGAGTCGGAGCTCGCATCAACCGAGCGCTCTCATTGGTCGATGTTTTTTGTTAATAACTCCTCAACCATGCTTCGGAAAACTTTTTCGATAAGGAAAATGTTGTTCAAAATCACGTCAGGAACCTCCATTAAAATTCTTTACACTAGTTTTGGGATACCCTGTATAATAACCTAACTCTATGGCTCTAGTGCTTAGACTCTCGCGAACACGAGTATAGACTTTTGGAATTACAAATATAATTCCTGGCTTCTCGTCGCCATGATGGTTAGCTATATCTATTGATTCTGCCCCTGTGTCAATTCCCAATACGACTAATTGTAAGTTAACAATGACCAGGTCTAATATTTGGAGATACAGGTTTCGTTAAAGAATGGTCATCATGGGAGTAGTGGACAGGTGATTAAATAGACGGTAAGATATATGTTTAAAAAAATTTTTAATTTTAATTTTTAAACAATTTAAGTATAGAATACAAAAATCTGATATCTGTACACTTCGTTCCTTTCTTTGCCGTCATGTTAGATTTAACGGCTTCGTTCGACAGTTCCGTTTTCTGACAACTGTAGCCGCAATTATCTCGACGAAAGAGACCAGCCGGTAGACGAGTGACGGCCCGTCACTGACAGTGACGGTCGAGAAATACCAGGAGAGGGAGAGGCAGGGAGAGGAACTCGATGCACGCCGCATGTATAGATATCGTAACCCTGTTTCGTGATCGTGATATGTCAAGTGTGTGTACTTCATAATTGCTTGACGTTTCATTCAAATCCGTACGCGTGATTGTATCGTAAATAAATACCAATTTTCGAACGAAGGACTTCGTCTCTCCGCTCCCATTTCTGTGCAATTTCTATTCTATTCGATGCGCTCGATGATAAAATGAAATCTTGTAATGACCAGTCGATGTTGACCGTTTCGTGGAGAATCGACTATCTCTTAAGCAATCTTTAACAATTCCGTTTCCTATGCAAAATTATGCGGAACGCGTGCATCGTTGATCATGCGTGTGCATAAGCGGTAAGCAGTGTGGAACAAAATGATTATTGGGTTTTTCAATCGGTCGATTGTCGCGTCACGAAGATACACTGCCAAATGTTTCAACGTTACGTAGTGACTGTAGCCACACAGGAGACTAGAGGACAAAACGCGTATTTTGTAACGCGAACGTATAAAATGTGATGCCAAGAATCAAGAAGGAACTGGTAAAAGAAAAGGAAGAGAGGCAAGGAGTACAGACGCAACGAACAAGGGGCAACTCTGTACTCTGACAATGACTGGATAGGAAGGTAAAACATGTATTTTGTTTAAACGTTCTGACACCTCTGCTCAGTGTATTTCTTCTGCAGGAGTCGAGAACACTCGTCGTAACATGATACATTCTTTCCTCGAGGAAGGTGCCTGGTGTTACTGGGTCGTATCTGTCGGAGCATTGCTGACGTTCCTTGGTCTCATCGTCGCTTGCATTTGTAGCTGCCGTCGTAACGAGAACAAGTAATTTATCATACTTAAGAAGACGCGTTTGGTCATACAATAAATAATTGGCCCCGTTTGAATAGAAATGAATTTCTCGGCCTCGCTGGAATGGTAACGTTAAAAGATTCTGACAACGATGGCCTTAACAGAATTCCAACTACGGACGTCGTTCGAGTAACAACACAGGATGCGACCGACAGTGGAAAGAGGTATCGAGATACACGCTTCGTTACATCCTTTGATCGAATACATAGTAAACGAATTTTAAAACGAATTAAAATGATTTCACACAGATCAACTGGTGCCAATAGAAGTCTTCCAGACATACCAAAAGATAAGGAAAAAAGGTGCGAAGATACGAACGCGTGTGCATCTCAAGACATCTATGAGACGACCGAAGCGATCGGTGATCATTCAGAATTGTACGCCACAGTGCGGGATGCAGGTATTCCTTCTACGCGACGCGGTTATTCAACCGTTTTCAAGTTAAATTCGTAGCTGATTCGTTGATTTCGATTCGTTCATCTAGCGGGTAAAGAAGGAATATCTGAACTGGATGCAGTGGAGGTTTCGCATAAAAGTACCTTGAGCCAAGAAGGTTCGGACGATCAGTACTCGAGGTTCGCTTCGTCGCCTAATTCAGACAATGGTAGGATAGAACAGAGAAAAGACAAGAATCGAGATACGCGTAGAGTATGCACAGCTAATTATACCGTGGTTGTTTCAGTCGAACATCCTTACGCTCAACTGCAAAGCGTTCAAAAATCAGAGATCAATCAGTCGAACCGGTAATAGCTGCAAACCTGTTATAAGCACAACCGTTTCAACCCCATACGTATTCGTTATACGTATTTTCTGTGCGTTTTCTGTACTATAGGAGCAGTGGGAAGATCGTCGACGCGGAGGTACCATCGACGTCGGCGAATCAAACGAACGGGAATCCGATCGCGCCACCGAGGACGCGACGATCCTCCTCGCATAATTCTCTTCTGTCCACCGATGATGGACACGTGACTTGCGACATTCAAGCGGCGAATGCCATATCGGGCGCGGTACAAGCTAATCAGGATTTACCGTATATGACGCCACCGCTGCTGATGTTGCTCCCTCAGCCGCCTCAGCCTCCGACGAACAACCCGCAGCAGCATTTCAGCGGAGATTCTCAAGATTCTAGTAAAGACATCTTTCTTCCTCGTTCCGACCCCGCCCAAGCTTCGGGCATGTCAGAATTGGCTGATGATTTTTGTTTTCCATGCGCAGAAGGGTATACGAGCATCAGCGTCAGGGAGCCTTTGGCCAACATTATCGCTCAAACTAAAACGAGGCAGAATCAGTCGATTCGGCCCCTTACGGATCCCCATTATGCGACCGTGTCGGACGATTCCGGTAACGCATGCAAATCTAACGACAGGCAAAACGATGTACGAAGTATAACGATGCGTTTCATTTCATAGACGAGATGTACGCTGCGATTGACGAACAGGACAAGGTGTACACCAGCGGTAGCGAGACGTACGCACAGATACAACCGACGATGACGGAGGTCCAACGCGTGCAAAACGAACAGAACTCGTTCCCTCGAGCTCCCTCTCGATCGGACGAAATCTATCCAGCCCCACAGCCACCGAGCGTAGACAGTTTACGACACGTTGCACACGCTCACTCCCGGCAAGGTAACTCGAATTCTTCGTGCGCGAACCTTGAATCTAATATTTTCTGTATTCCGCAGCTTCGTCCTCGAGCGCTACGAGCTCGATAATAAATCCTGGCTCACCGAAACCGGAGAAACGACAGGCTAACTCTCCGTTACCGCCGCCGCCGCCACCGCCGGAGGGAAACGCGTCAACGACAGAAATGTACGCGTCGATCGAGAAGAAGACGAAGAACGAGGATCGTTTGAAACCGGCTCTGTCCAATGGGAAATCTCTGGAAGACATGTACGCAAAAGTGATGAAGAAGAAGAAGGATACGGAGGAGCAGCAGAACGACGCGTATCCGGCGCATGCCGTCCACGGATACGTCCACTGCGAGACGCTCGTCGTTGGCGCGGTGAGGAAACCGAGTCTCGTCGAAGGTAGTAGGATTTCATGGTCTAGTCACGACTCGACAGAGTTGCAAAAAAAGGAATCCGATCATCTAGACACGGAGGTCGTGACGAGATCATCGTTGTCGTCGACGTCGTCGTCCTCCTCGAGAGCCGATAACGCGAACGCTGCACTCTTCCCTGCCCGGGACGCTTGCGATCCGAATTACGAGCCGTTATACGCGCAGCAACGCGTTGGCCAGGATACCGCGTCGAATCACCAATCATCGAAACTACCCACCGCGTCGGTCCCTTTAAGAAATAGTACGGATTCAACGATCCTTTCGTCTACTCATTCTTTTTTCCCTACTATTTCTACTGCCGTTACTAGCACTACCACTACTGCGGCCACGGCTCTGACCGCTACTGTGGATACAGCGACGACTACCGTCGTGACTGCTGCTGCTACTACTAGTACTACTGTTCTTGCTTCTGCGTCTTCTACTTCGTACGGTTTACCCTTCAAGCACCGGCAAGTCAGTAACGCCAGCAGCGAGGATCCAGGGTATGAGAAAGTTAGACTGAGAAAAAAGTCTGAGATGGATCAGGACACAGATTCGGAACCGAATTACGAAAGTATGCCACACGATCCAGGAGAGCCGAGCTATGCGTCGGTCTGTCGGCCCGGTGACAGCGACACGGATCCCAACTACGAATCCGTTAATCACGGTGATCCTAATTACGAGAGCGTTAAGTACATGAGCGTCGCCCGTAGTACCGAGGAACCGCCGTACGAGCAGGTGGCCGCTTATAAGGCGGATCAGGACGCGAACGGGTACGAGAAAGTGAGGAAACACGCGTCGTTCAATGCCGATTACGAACGCATACATCAGGTCCATGTCGCCGGACCGATCAACGGAGACACCGATGACGAGCAGTACGTCCAAGTCTAGTCGTTCGTTCTCTACTTCTTTTTTCCTGCCCTTTTGCTTTCCGTACGTTAATCACTGTCCGAGCAGTCTTTTCTAACTTTACTAACGAAACAGTAATGAATAACCCGTAAACTTTTAAACTGCGTGCGTGTACCGTAAGTATGTATATGCATGTGCAAAGTTTCATACGCTTAAAGTGACGCATCCAGAGTCAACGTGACTCCAATCGGGATCGGTAGAGACCGGCGTACTTTCGCTCGGTGAACGTAGTATATGTATAATCGCTTATCGACGAATCATCGAAGGCAAACACACATAGCGGTTAAGTAATCGCGTTTGCTTTAAATATCTACGACAATTTGTATTCTTTTATATGTATTTTTCACGAGATCGAATGTTTTTCGGTAAAATAAAATGAAAGAGAAAATAACTAACGTTCGTTTCGTTCTCGCCTCGTTCCCCAGAACAGGAAGTTGGTTCACGTGGAAATTACCAACGTGCACGGAGCATGTCACACACGTGAATCAATTACAACGTTTATTTCTATTTCTCATTCTGTGGGATTCTCGTTTATTCAGAGATACGAGATAGGTCACGTACGTGAACTTTGTCTAGGAACGTGCGTCGAACACGATACCTTCCTTGCATCCGTTTCATCTTTAAACTCTCGAGCTCGTTCGATTCGAAGCAGGCCCACCCAATTATTTAGAACAACGGTTCCCCTTCGCGCTTCGTTTCGCGGCACGGTCTCTCGTCGTTACACTCGCTTTTCATCTATATAAAATTGTATTATTCGACTATACTATAAAATAAATGGCAGCATTTACCTTCTTCGTGTACATTTATGACGGGTGACGCGATAAATACTCGTTCGAACGATGATTCATTTTCGTTTGCCGAATCGTGCGGACGTCTCCTAAAAATGTTGGAAGCGCGTCGCATTCGAGACGCAAGACGGGATCGCGGTTGGTTTCGTTTCCGTTACGCAAAAAGACGTTGTCGTCGTCCTCTCGCTCTGTATAAAATATGTGCGTGTTTTGTCCAACTACTTACATTTTATACAGCCGCGAATAAAATATTTCTGTTAAGTACGAACGGAATCTCTAGTGTTTACACGTTACACCGTTAAAGCGAATTCCTGACGTAAAAATATATGTATGTACATGTCGTATACTATACATATATGTTTAGCAATCTAACGGAGGAACGCGAGGTTTAGAATTTCGAGGTACGCGTCGACGACACGCGTTTTAATCGCACCGCTCGATCGTAGGTACACAGTGGACATCAAATGCCAATACGCGATTGTGTCGACGCATACGTAACGGTTGAGACGTGATCGTAGCTCGAAAAAGGCGAGGGGGGCATGTCACATGCTATTGAAACTACTAGCATCCTCGCTTTCGCTCGGCGGACTCATCGATGACTCCAAGTAACACCTCGAATTGTTGGTCAAATCTTGATAATGTTGTTGATGCGATTGATCTGGATGATGATGATGCCGGTGGTGGTAACGAGACTCTTGTTCATCTTCCTCCTTTTCTTCTTCCTCTTCCTCTTCTTCCTGCCCTTCCCCTTCCTCCTCTTCGTCTTCCTCTTCTTCCTCCTGCTGCTGTTCCTGCTGCTGCTGCTGCTGCTGTTGCTGATAGTAGTGATGACGATGATGCTCATGATGGTGCTGAAGAAGACTCTCGTTTCGGTAGCATCGATGCCTCTCGTCTATACGTTGACGCAGATCGTTCAAATGAACCGTTTGTACTTGTTTCTTTAATTTTCGATGATAGACGAGACAAACGGTCAGCGCAATCAACATGGCTGCGCCGATCGCGCACCCCACTGGCATCACGTAACTATGCGTCTCTATAACTGTATCGCCTGAAATAAGTATAATTACACTCTGTTAAACATTTGTTTACCGTCGAGCTTTCTTTCTGTTTAGCGTCTAGATCATTGCCTGCCCCTACGGCGGATTTTACTCGGTAAAGAACGCGTCCAGTGTTTTTTTTTGCTGGGAATTTAGATTGATCGACGCGTGGGTAAGAGGATCGTTCATTAAGAGTTCTACGGAAAGAAGAAATAAATGCAAAATGTTGGTTCAAGGCAAATATGCTTTCTCGTAACATCGTCTTCCATTTTCACAGAGAAATGTACAGGTGGAAGAGATCATTCGGTAATCGAATAACAATAATCGGGGAAGTGACAGTGTTTTTTGCTAGTGTCGATGGAAGAGGGACAGCAAGATCGTAAAAGAGAAGAAAAGAAGAAGACAAGAGAAAGTTGACATGCCATTAATTGTACGTATTTATAATCATGGTATAAAATATATATACGTATGTATACATACATACGATATAATTTATGCGGATAGATTTGCATTCATTTTGATCATGCGTATGTTCCGTACAGTTCGTGTGTAAAACGTGAAAGAAACAAAATATCTTGGCGATCTCGCTGGAAGTTGTTCGCTCGATGAAGTCGAGTCGAGAAATGAAAAGTCACGAGAACATTTAAATATCGTATATCATTGCGCGAGAACGGATACCTCAATCGAAGCGATGACGTTACATCTGAAACGATGACACGGTCCGATTAGTAATAATTATTACGGTTTCGTCGCGATCGTAAACCGACAGATCTAGTCAGAGAACAAATGAAACAGAAACGACGTGAACCCCGATTAGTAATCTCGTAAATAAACGGAAAGCGGTAGAATGTGCAATACTGTGAGTGAACTCACGTGATAGGGGAGATCATAACATGCCGGATCGTCGTAAGCTTCATGAAGGGGCTCAGATGGCCACGAACACAAAGCACAGAGAGAGAAGAAGCATGGCAGAGACTCCAGCCATTGCTGGCGACAATGGGGCTGATGCTGCACCTGCGACACCACACACGGTCATTCACCCCGTCCGATCCGTCCGTTCTCTCTCACCTCTGCGCGTAGCTATGTACACGTTTATGTACATACACTTACTTACCCAACAACAGTACAATCTACGAGAATTCTGTACGTACTCGAATTCTCTTCTCGAGCAGTCCATCATACTTCCGGTTCAATTGTTTTTTTTTCGATCGTCATCCTATTCCTATCTCATACACGTTTCTGATTATATCGGCGAATTCGCGCGTGCGAAAAGGCGAAACGTAAACACGTCACTCAGTCGAGGTGACACCTTTCTCGCACCGTAATTTTTCTTAAAATTATGCGGACGATCGAACTCACGGTAAAAATTGTACTTTCCCCGAGCAAAGTAAACGCAATACGTATAAATACATGCATCGTGCAGGATCTATCGGATCATTTCTCAAAGACGTATTCTCATATCCGACTGTAACGACATCGTATCATAGTCTCCACTTTTGTGACGAGGCTCAGATAGAAAGACGGACAGTATATACGTAGAGGTGCATAAAATTGAAAAATCGAAACTATGGGAGAGAATCGTGGCGATAGGTAAACGGCTCGTCTTCGGTATTCATCGAATACGCGTACAAATGGTATAACGTGATCAATGAGAAGGATCGGTCAAAGGTTCTGTACTCGGTAGAAAGAGAATACGCTCGATGAACTTTCAGAATAATACAGTCATATCTATTGAACGACCCGAAGATCATTACATGTTTCATACTAAGTCCGAAAACATGTGCGTATCGTATTTATCGCACGCGTACATACATGAACGTACAGATATAAGTACCATATACGTATAATACCTACGTAAGAAGATGTTAGAACATGTATAAGTAGTCGCACGAACGGCAGGTTTACGCATCTACACGATCAGAAGAAATGAAAAGAAGAAAAAGGGAATAGTAGAAAAGAAATAAAGAAAATGAACGAGTACAGAGGCGAGCCACACACGTTTCTAAAGAGGTGTTTTCTCGGTGTAATTCTAAGGGTTACGAAACTTACAGTTTTCTTCGTCCGAAGTGTCAGCCGAGCCACAATTATAAATGTTATTACACCGAAGCGACTCTGCGATGCAGTATTTACTTTTGTTGCAGAGAAACTGATTCGAGCAGCTGGTATTTATGCTTACTTCGGTCCACGTCGCTCTGAAACCTTGCTGTCCCACCGCTTTGTCGGCCAATATGAAGCTGAAAGAAGAGACGAACAGAGAAGAAAAGTCGGTATCTATGCTCATACCTATGATCATATACGTCTACCGGAATCCGCGTCGCATCGACGTTACACCGTGCATCGTGTGACATGTATAAATGCTGTGTGCGAGCAACGAACCTGAGCCGCATATTATTGTCCTCGGAGAGATAGGTCCATTCGGTGTCCGGGCCTTTAACGCCGCACAGTTCGACGGGCGTGGAGGACGCCGAATGCCACATGCGAAGCACCGCGGCAGGACAACCGCGAGCTGCAAGAATCACTCCAAGTTCCAATCACGGAATTCCAGCAGCGAACGAATCATGAAAGAACGAACCAGATACCTGATTGATCACCCTCGACCGAGAACGATTCGAAGTTCAACAGTATTCGCTGATTCGGACCGACTCTTATGAACCAGTTGCAGGTTTTACTCGCCATGTTCCTCGCGGGTCCTTCGTAGTTGTCCGGGAAATTCGGACTGGCGATGATTCCATAATTCAGGCTGCTTATGTTCGACCCGCAATCTATCGATAAAACGATCCGAGGTACACATCAGTTCTGAATCGAATCCGAAAGTGCTGGTTGGTGCAAAAATTACCTCCGAAAATTGGTTTCGCCACTTCGAAAGTGTAACGCGCCTTGAAACCGCTGTAGACCAGTTCCGAGTCCGAGCGTAGGATCACTTTCAAGCCGAGGGCGCCCAGATTCGACTCTACCGGCCCCGGAGCCGTGCCACCGCAGTATCTACCTATCAACTTTTCCGTATCGTCCCGGTACATGTTGTATATCTCCAACCAATCGTCTTGGCATATTTCCAGTCTATGGAAACGTGTGATCGCGGGCAAGGTGTGAGAAGCAGCTGTGCCGTTTAAAAAAAAAAATAGCGTCGCGTGACGTTTCGACTCACCCGTAATGTCCACCCGTGACGTTCGTGTTCGTCGTCCGGACCTTGAAAGCGTCGAATATCAAAGCGACCTGCTCGTTCGGCGTCGCTAGGAAGATGTAAGTGCAAATAGTGTCGCTCGGGTAATTGCTAGGATGCCGCGGGGAATTGAAGTCTCCTGTCTTGCGAGAGGAACTGCGGTAGGTGAAGGTGCAGCTGCCATCGGGAGCCGCGGTTCCCGGTATCTTATATTCCGTTTCGAATCTGTATCTGCCAAATCGCGATCGCGGTTTTCATGGCTGTTCCGCTTTGTGCGAGCGTCCACTAAGTTACGACGTGCGTCACATCTTACCGTGCTTTGAATCCGTGTCCCTGAGTCTCACCGCTGCTGAAGACCATCACGAGTCTCGGTCCGTCGCTGACCACTTGGCTCGGATTGCTGTTCACGCCGCACAGTTCGTAGTCGAACTTGTCGTAAGAATCGGTCGCCTCTTGCCCCTTTAGATATAACTTCAAATATCCGTCTACGCACGCTTGACTGTGAACGAGAAGAGAAAAAGAGAGACAAGAAGGAATACTGTTCGTCGGAAACGCGACCGATCGTCTCCGAGAGTATTTAAGGATCCGTACTCACTCTCCGACTGACTCGTTTTTTGGTATCTTGAACGTTAAGAAATCTAGCCGAACGCGTTCAAGGTGTTGCGAGTCTTGCATTCCGTAAATGAAGTACCGACATACGACCTTCGGTATGTATGGATACGGGAAGTTCGGACTGACGACGTGCCCCGAAGACTCCTTCTTGCTCAATATCTTTTGATCGCACTCCGATCCCCGTATATGCTCACCCTCGAAAGACGTAATGAAGTCTGCACAGAGAGAGACGGGCATGTGAATTCGTACGCGCGTCGACGACGGCGTTTCGACTTACGTAGATTGACGAAACTCTCGGAGAACTCGAAGATACCCTTGAACCCGCGGTTCTGCGTGTTCGCCGTACGTTGGAGGGTGACAAAGAGCACGTACAGGTTCGATTCCGACGAGTACAGTACCAAATTTCGTTGTTGCCCGCAGTACGTCCCTATCACAGCCGACGTGTTGTCCAGACCGTCGTGCACTTTCACGTAATCCAGTGGACAACTGCCGGGAAGAATATGCGTACAGTCGTCGCGTCGTGCCGACCGATGATCAACCACGTAAGCGTAAAGCGTTTACGTACTGTTGACCGCCGAAATATAAATCGAAATCCCGAAACTCCAACCGTACTCGCTGGCCAGGCTTCCCGATAAACTGATAACTGCACGTGAGACCTTTCGGATACGTGCCCGGATACGTGGGGGACAGTATGCTGCCGTTACGCTTGTGTTCCGAGTCTACCGTGAAAGTGCACGGTGAACTAGGAGCTGGTGTTCCCACCTCGTACTCGGCTGCGCATTCAAATGCATGTAAAAAATACAACATAGTCAGGCGGAAGAAGGTATGGCGATGATCGTAAGTATAGTGTCGAACAAAGGAGATGAAAGAACGTACACGCATTGGTGAAGGCGTAAGTGCCGCTGAACAGGTTCGGCAGCGTAATGTTCTTGTTGGTAAAGAAACTGAAGGCGATTCCCTGGTAAAGCGAAACGCGTCTGCGAGGTGGGATCGGGCCGCAGAAGCGTCCGCCAAACGGCGTTTCTACCAGCTTGCTGGTGTTCTCCGAACGTAGCTCCACGTACAAATCCAAGTACTCGTGAACGCAACTGGAAACCGGTAGGAATTTTCATTTGGAAACAATGCGTGGGCCGAGAGAGAGCTGGATCGAACGAAATGAAACACTTACGAAGGTAACTCTCCAACGGCGGATCCGCTGGAAAAACCGAGACCGAGATTCGTGAAGAAGAACGTGAGTAGGAACGTAATGGACAAGGGTTAACTATCTTTCATTTTCACTTACGCCGGTGGGTCGCCCCGAAGCCCGAACCGATCGAATTTTAACTCTACCCTTTGCCGTGGTCCAGCGAAAAATATGTACACGCATTGCCGTGACTCCTTCTCAGGATTTATTAACGTCGGAGCGTAGAACGTTCCATTCGTCGGACCGTCCGGTGTGCTTATAAACTTCTGATCGCATTCTAGAACGATCGCAACCCTTAGCTCCACCGTTCGCTGATCACCGTTGGCAGATCGCGGATTTTTATACAAAATTAACCATTTACAGTGTGTGCTGGTCTGAATTTCTAAATCCGCGGTCTGGCCATTGGCGCGGATCAGGTGTCGGGCACTCACCTGTGCTGCTGCGAGGACAGAGTAGCAACGAGAAGATGAACACGATGGGAACGAGACTATTTCCGGAAACCTGCCGGAGTATCGATGTCATGCTGCATCCTGAGTATACGGATTCGCATTTTGCTCGATCGGTTCGACCGAAACCGTGATACAATCGTACGGGGATCGTGAACAGTGGCAGCTGGGAGTTTACCATACCGTCAGTCTCTGTTCCGTGCACAGGAAGAGCGAAGTAGCGAATCGATCCCTGAGATCATCTGCAATCACACGCGTTGTTTGTCATTCGGGTCGTTAAACGATTCCTCCTTCGCACGTCGAAGTGGAACGTTCGAGACATTTGAAACGGCTCGCGTACAACGGCTCCGACCGAGCGAACGGGACCGGGAGCACGTTGAAACTGACGCGTCCCTCGTTGGAGAATGAGTGGAACGAGTGGAATGAGAGGAAAAAACGGCAAGGGTGGCAAATACCTGTACGTATCTCGAACGTGGCTCTCTTGGTCAGACACGTGTCGCGTTAAATTGCCACGCCCTCCACTGGTACGACTTGCGCCCTTTACGCAAGGCGATGCGCGACCACCGCACGTTAATTCATATTATCGCGATCGGACAGCTTGGATCGCAAAGAGATCGACCGCGAGAGACGGACGAACCAGAAAGAATTTACCGTTTAAATCCCGTTAGCGCCACTACCACTGCCACTGATAACGCCACCATCATCCCTTCTGTCTGACCCGTCGCCTCGCTCACGCCTCGCGTCTTGCGCCGTGCGCCTTCCTCCGGATGCGGAGTGAATTTCTTCACGCACGATATCTCTCCTTGCTTCTCCGATCGAACCGACGAGGCGAAGTAAACGTAGGAACAGGAGGCACGCGTCGCATTCGCTAGTCCGAGTTTCATCCGACGCGTTTCGTGAAACTTATGTGCAGACGTCTACATAGATACGTACTGTACGTATCTTGAGGGAAACGGTGAGCTGGTCAATAGCAGCATCGCCAATGACGAGCTGGGCGACGCGCGGTCTGCCGTTAACGATCTCAATCCCTGAACGAAACGTTCTTGGCGCGAACGAGTAACATACGTAAACGACGATTAATGGTACAGAATACGTAGCTGAGCACTGCCGAGCCGAGAGTTGCGGCGTTACTTCTTCGATGGAAGAAATACGACGACACGCGTACGCGGTTGGCAACAATCGAGTACGTCCGTGATTTACGTACGATGCGCAACTTTCGATAGACGTTCTCGTTGATGCGCGTACATATAATTGCCGCGAACCAATAAATTAAACCGTTCGACATTTTTATGTAAACGTAGAAACGGTAATATCGTAGCATGGATACGTACCTTGGAACTGTTCTCCAGCAACTGGAATCGAGCTCTTACACTCCTTTTCTCTCTTCAGTTTCGAAGGTACGAGGAGTTTAACGATAGACCAGAACGTTGGTGAATCTATGATGACTCAAAGATCATTCGTAGGAGCAGTTTGTCGTTCCTTAATTTTAATTCTTCGTTATCGTATCGCTGGCACTCCGAAATCCGAACGGGAAATCAAATCATTATCGTCGGACAGGGTAGGACGTTCAAATAACGCGAGAATCGAGGAACAGGAACTTGGGGCTGGTCGAATACGATGCGGTGGGTGTACACGAGGGTGAACGCATCTTGAGAAGGATGCCTAAAAATGAAAAGAATACAGGCAAGAAACGAGTCTATCTTTAGGAGGAGCGCGGAGGTATCGGCCCGAGATACCTGGAGATACCGAGAGACTCGGAAGCTAAAGATGCTGGTCGCGGCTATCTCCCGTCTCCTCTTGCGCGCAGCCCTCGAGCGCTGGTCAGGGGTCGCTCTCCTAACTAGGGCAACCGCCGGCCACCCCTGCTCCCACCGCCAGCGTAGTGGGAGGAAAGATTAATCTGTATCATTAACAAACTTACTATGAGAAACTGTGAGAACAGCTGGTTTGCGAATAGTTTCGTTCGACGGCCTCCCTGGAACGAAGCAGACGAAAGATCGTATATCCGCGCATGCAATTTAATTGATCAAATCGTCAGAACGGCATAAACTGTAAAAAGGTGCACACCTTAACGACGTATAAATAATAATGTAAACATCGTTTAAGAAAGGTAATTCACATACAACTGTTTATTGAGACATGTAGAATACATCTGGTCATACACAAAAATCTTTGACACTTTAAATCAAGCTCCTAGCCCGAAAAAGGAACCATTTCAACATTGTTTTAAATTCATCAATAATCATTACGTTCAACTACGTCACACTAAAATTAAGGACAACGTTTTAAAATTGCGGGAATTATAAAAAAAAGCAAAGCAATTGGAAGATGATGAATAATAAAAAAAAAATAAATCTGAAAACGCAATTATATCAACGATAGAAGAATTTGGTCGTGTGAAATTTCTTTTTTTTTTCCTTTTTTTCTTTTCGTTCACTTTTAGCCGTGGAGCTGACACGTGGCATGTGTGGCGCGAGAAACATAAACCGTATACTATGTTCGTGTGTGAATAGTCTGTTACGTATTATATACTTCCGGTTTGTTTGTTGAATGTATTTCTTTTTTCCACTTTTTTTTAAACATTTTTCCTTCCTATTCTTTTCGTACAATTGTTCACTTTTGTTATTTGTTTTCCTCATTAGTGCTAAATAACATCACGTCACAAAATGCATATTCGCAGGAATATAATATATAATATATTTATATATAATTAAAAAACACGTGTTTGGGTCGTTGTTAACATAAATTGAGCGACCCAAAAATCACACAACATTCGCCTGACACGGGCCAACCAAAAAGAGTCAAGTTCCCAAGGATGTGTGCCGCGAATTAGGGCAACGACCGGGTAAAAAGGTGCGCGCGGCTACAGCATCGTCAGCCACAGTGGTGCATTATCCTAAATGCGACCGATAACCCCCCAGGCACCCCAGCTGCCACACACCGGTCAATGTATTTGTTATATGTATAAAATAGCAAAAGGTAAATGATACATGATAATGTTTGGGGCGCCTTGACACCGGGGTAGGGCCAATATCGTAACGCTAGTACCTAGATCAGTCTAAAGTCTCGTCACCGTGAACTGCCTCCGCTTTGCCTGGCTATGCTTCCTTGCCCCCGCAAGCTGAACTTTTCTTCTCTTTATTCCCATTCGTACCTCTCTTCCTCTCTCGTGTTCACTCGGTCACTCGGTCACTCGTTCGCTCGTTTACTCGCTCGCTTCCTTTCGCTCTTTCTCTCTTCCGTCCTCCCCTCGCAAGCCACGCTTCATACTTGTTTGCTTGCCTGCCTGCCTGCTTGCTTGCTTGCTTTATTATAAAGTATGTAATTTTCCTTTATCGCAATTTCGAAGGAAAACCAGAATTTATATTGAAACGTTATTATGTTACGAAAACCCACTCAGTATTATTAGCAATATCATCCTTATCGTATCGTATTAATATTAATATTACTGTATCCTTGATATTATGTTTTTATAAATACAGGTGTGTAGGTAAATAGGGGTAGATAGATATAAAATACGTTAAATGAACAATTGGTTACGGGGGAAGGGGTTTAAATGAATTAAAGGCAAATAATGATAATCGGTATGGATAAGAACAGTTGTCGCTCAACTGCTGACTTTCGTCTTGTTTCCCTCTGCTCTCTCGCTTCCACTCACCTCGAATCAGTCACTCGATTCATCACTGTCGTCCGTTCGTAGTCCGGATGAAACAGCTGATCCGTCCATTCATCCAAACGTGTATCATCCTCGCACCCATCCATCCATCCATCTCTCACTCCTTTTCTCTCGTTCGTTCACTCGTCCGTTTTCTCTCATCAGATTCTTCTTCCGTTCAAACGATCGTCGCATGACTGGGGACAGGAAGTAAAAGTGAGGGAACCTTGATAGTTAGATATTTTAGCTATACGTCATCGTAATAAACTCGCGTCGATGACGAAATAGATTTCGAGTTACTTAAGCGAATAGAAATGATAGGTGCAACAAAATGTTGGTCGATGTGAAAGTTTAAAAGTAACCGATCGTGTATCGATGATGACGAGAGATATTTCATTCCATTTTTACAGTGCTCGATCGCTTCTGTTTCAAACTTTCGACAGATAGGTATATATCGTGTGTGCATTTTTTTTGCTCGTTGCCTGCTTCCTTGAAATTCCTCTTTATTATTTCCATTTGCACGATTCGCACCTCTCTCGCCGCCGCTCTATATTCCTCTCGCGTTACAGCTCCTGCGTGCCTCCCTCGTTCATCGAACCGGGGCCAAAGTATAATAATTCTAGTCGTTGCTGCTGCTGCTGATGATGATGCTACACGATAAGACAATACGGTGATATGCAGTCACTTCGTTACAAATGAATTCATCTTTCTCGTATCGTTTATGTATCTTTTTCGTCACTGTTCGGGGGTATGTGTAAAAACGGTATTTAGGCTGCACTTATGTTTTCTTTTCTTAGATTATTCTCCAGAACAGGGGGTGTCTGGGCTCCAGGGACAGGGACCAACTATAGCCCGCATTTACAACTCTTACTAATTAACTAACAGGCTAACAATAACAACGAGTCAACACCCAAATGTGTGCTGTGTGTGATTCATGCATTTATAAACGCTGCGTACTCTTTACACATCCTAAATCAATCCGTGACTATCATTATATATCAAATTCAGTAGTCAGTCGTTTCTTTCTTAATTCCTTTTTTTTTTACAAAAAAATAAAGATAATGAAGAAAAACTACCAGCTCGTGGCAAGAGTCGCGCGTGTTGAACGACGCGACATAAAAATTTGGAATCGTAAAATTTTTGACAAAAGATAAAAATAAAGACGAAACACAATATATAAGCTATAATCATTTTTTTTAAAAGTTTGATTCAACTTTTTTTCTCTACTCGTTTCGTTAATTCTGATTCCGTTCAACGGTTCTCTTTCTCTTTCTCTGTTCGACGCTCCAAACATAAAACAAGGAGAACAAAAAAGGAGAAAAGCGAGAAAACAATGAGAGAGAAAATAAAAACCTACCGAATAAATTCTAGTACGATATCAATTTAGATCCTAATTTTCTCACTATGTCGAAGCTATCGTTACAAATTTTTCTATACAAACGAATATCTTTTCTAATCAATTTTCAATAACTTGTTTTCTCCCATTATAATTCGTATTATCTCGATCACTTCTCTCTCCCCCCCTCTCTCTATTTATCTCCGCTTCGTATCTCGGTCCTCAGCGGCCCTCGATCAAAACAAGTGCGAGATACATTCCTCGTCACGCAGAACCGTTGAGATCTCTAACGTTTCGTTTCCGATTTTCATAAAACCTGCCGAACACTTAATAATAATAGTTTCACTGACTGTACACATTATAGACCAACAATAGAAGGTCTAGCGGCGCTTCGCGCGCTCCACGCACACGAATAGACACGCATAATACATACATACTTACCACAAGCACACATGCCCACTCAACGCAAGCATACATTTGTAAAACAAGTTTCTTCTAGTCCCTCCTTACTTCGCCACGCGGGAAGAAAGGAGAAACTGTTCGAATTCTTCGCTATATATGTACTTGTAATATTTTCCCCATTCACACTCACTTTCGTACCAACCTTCCTCGCTCATCTTCCATCTCTTACTACCCACTCTTCCTCTCTGCCGCCTCCTCTTCGCACTTTCTTACTTCTTTCTTCTTCTGTCTACTTCCCCCGTTGTTACTAATCCTCTTCTTCGTCTTGTTCTTCGTCCTCCTCCGATCTTTCTCTCTCTTCTCGCCCCTCCAATCTTCTTCCACCACCGTATCCTCACTTCTTAGGCGTTCCGATCCTCTATTCTCATTCTAGCCATTATATTCTCGCACGTACACGTAACAATTCGAACAATAGCATAATAAAATCGCAGGCTCTCTTGATTTTTCTTAATTAATACAAGCCATCACAATCCCAATGTCAACATCGCTGATCTTTGTATCACTTGGCAGTAGACAATGTGACAATGTAGTAGTACTTAGTGTATATATATATATGTATATATATATATAAATAAAATGTTTTGTGTGTATATATATGTACGTGTCTGTGTGTGTATGTACGTCTATATATATATATA